CTGCCACGCCCGGCGCGGTTTGACTTACTGCGCAGGCGGGCAGTCCCCTGCCCTCGCCTCGGCCTCCCAGCGGGCTGGGGTTGCAGGCCGAGCCACCGCACCCAGCCATTTCCTTATTTTTTGTAGAGATGGGGTCTCGCTGTGTGGCCCAGCCTGGTCTCAAACGCCCAGGTCGGTGGTACTCCCGACTCAGCCTCCACACCCAGCCCTCTGACCCCCCAGTCTCCTCCTGGGCGTCCCGTCACCAAGCCCAAGGACCCTCCTCCCCGCTGGGCGTTTATTTACTTAGAGTGGGGGTCCCACTCTCTTGCCCAGGCTAGAAGGCAGTGGCACACTCACAGCTCCCTGCAGCCTCAACCTCCTGGATTCAGACTGTGCTTCCAATCCAGTCTCCCGAGTAGGTAGGCCTGCAGGTGTGTACCACCACAGCCGGCTTTTTGCGTGTGCGCATTGTTTTGTAGATATGGGAGTCTCGCTATGCTGTTCGATTTGGTCTTGAACTCCTGGCCTCTAGCCGTCCTCCCACCTCTGCCTCCCAAAGTGCTGATGTTCCAGGCGTGAGCCACTGCGTGCCACTTGAAGTGTGAACTTAACTGGGCACCCTGTGTTTTCTCTGGCAACTCCCTGGGGAGGGGGGGACATGGGCACAGCCCAGATAAGACAGGGGACAGCGTTCCTCGGCAACCCCCTTGCAGCTGGCATTGCTGCCCATCGGGGGGCAGGGAAGAGCTGCAGAGGGTGGCTGGGTGGGTGTCCATGCCCGGCCGTGTCGGGCGAGAGGGAGGGCTCCATGACCAGAGCCTGCTGAGTCGTGTGACCCAATGAATGACCCCAGGAAACACGGTGACTCACTTCCAAATGGCTCAGCACATGCCACACACGCCCAACAAATGTGGCAAGGCAGGACAAAGGCGAGGCACCACTGTACCCTTCTTGCGGTTTTCTGCTGTATTCGCGCTTTTTTTCCAGAATAAAAGTCAAACGAGCCTGGGCGCGGTGGCTCACGTCTTTGATCCCAGCACTTTGGGAGGCCGAGGCAGAAGGATCGCCTGAGCCCGAATGTTCGAGACCAGCCTGGGCAACATGGTCAGACCCCCCACCCATTTCTATGACCAAAAAAAGAAAAGTTGTTTTCTTTTTCTTTGCTTTTTAAGTCAAACTAGCATCCTGTTTATGAGACAAGCTTGTAAAGTGTGTAAAGCTTGAACCAGACACCCTCACTCTCCGCTCCTGCACCCTCCATGGCTCCTCCTCGGAGGTCACCTCTGCCCTCTGACCTCTCACACCGGGAATTACACGCCCGTCCTCCTTTGACAGCCTCGAGCCTTTGTCTGCGCTGTGCCCTCTGCCTGGAAACCCTCCCCCCTCCTCTCCAGGATCCTGTCTTCCCTCTTCCTGGGGGCCCTCATTGAGGCTGCCTCCTCCAGGAAGCCTCTGCTAACCCCCAGTGCCATCTCAGGCTCCCCTTCGCTTCCCCTCGCCTGGTCTTCCGGGGCACAACTGTGGGTGCGGTTATATGGCTGGGTCTCTGTTTCTGGTCTGCCCCCCCACCCCCGAGAGCCACCGGGGACATGGGCACCCCCGGTACCCCCGTGCCCAGCACGTGGCCATTGGCTTTGGGTTGAATATGTGACTCACTACGCAACTGCTTCCTTTCCAGCGAGGAGGCTGCCTCCTCCAGGAAGCCCCGGCCTCCCCGCGCCTCCTCACCTCCTCAGGTCGTCCTCGAAGGGCAGAAAGAGCCACTTCTCCGGCATGTCCCTGAGGAACAGGTCCTGCTCCTCTTCCGTGGGATCCTGAGACACATAAACCAGGGCCAGCTGGGCCGCCCGCAGCACGTAGAACTCGTCTGTGAGCCGCACGAAGAAGTCCTTGAGGACGGGCGCGAAGGCCTGGCACTGCGGACAGGCCCCGGCGCCGAAGTACAGCAGCACCACCCGGTTCTCCAGCCGGCGGCTCAGCTCCGCCTCGGTGTCCAGCTCGTCCTGGTCACTGTTGTTGCGGATCAGGACGCGGCCCGAGAACAGGGAGACCATGGCTGCCCACGGGTGCGGGGCCTGCACCAGGGACCGCGGGCGCGCTCCTCTCCCAAGATTAGAACTCTTTAAGAAGTCGGTTGAGGACCTCACTAATCTGCCTAAGCCTCGACCTGGTTCTGAGGGGCCTCTGGGGGTTGGGGGCGGGGCCTCGTGTGTCCCGGCTCAGGTGAGAGCTGCTAATGCCTTAAGGAAAACACGGGCTCACGTCTGTCGTCCCAGCACTCTGGGAGGCCAAGGCAGGAGGATCGCTTGATGCCGGGAGTTCGAGGCCAGACTGAGCAACACAGCAAAACCCCCATCTCTACAAAAAAATAAAAATTAGCCGGGCAGGGTGGCATGCACCTGCAGTCCCCAGCTACTTGGGAGGCTGAGGTGGCAAGATCACCTGAGTCCAGGAGTTGGAGGCTGCTGTGAGCTGTGACGGCATTACTGCGCTACAGCCTGGGTGACAGAGCCAGACTCTGCCTCTTAAAAAAAAAAAGCCGGGCTCGGTGACTCAGCCTGTAATCTCGCGCCTTTGGAGGGCTGAGGTGGGTGGATTGCCTGAGCCCGTGGGTTCGAGACCCGCCTGGGCAACTTGGCGAGACCTCATCTCTATAGTAAATCAGAAATTAGCCAGGTGTGGTAGCGCACACCTGTAGTTCCAGCTACTCAGAAGGCTGAGGCGGAAGGATCGCCGGAGCCCAGTAGGACGAGCCTGTGGTGGCCGGGAGTGGCCACTGCACTCCAGTCTGGGCGACAGAGTGAGACTCCAACTCAAAAAAAAGAAAAAAAAAGAACAATAAAATAAATTTAACGTTAGCAGCATAGCTCCCAGGAGGAGGAAAGAGGGCGTTCCCACCCAGAGGACCACGAAGAGGTGGGGGGGGAGTGACCAGTCCACAGCCACCCAGCTGAGGGGGACAGCGACTAGTTTGGCCCCGAAGCCTGAGTTCTGCCCTGCTGGCCATGCCTCAGTTTCCTGGGGGAAAGATGGGCCCCGTTCCTCATCTGAAGTCCTCGAGGACAGCTGTGTTTCAGAATTGGAAACTGTGTGAATCAGGAAGGCAGCAGGGTGGACGCCGGCGTCTGCTGCGTGACGTCTGTCGGGGCCCAGGACACAGCGCCCCACAACGTAGGCCTCTGGCGCAGAACTTCTCTCCCCCCGTCCTCCCCAAAGCCCCACAGAAGCCACAGTCCCTTCTCCCCAAGGCGGCCCGGAAACTGGCCCCCCCTTTCCCCGAGCCAGCGCAAAACTGAAAACAGGACTCAAACCTTGCCTCGGCCTCTCTGTGTGAAAACTGGCAAGCCGGGCTCGGCGGCGCAGCCTGTCATCCCGCGCCTCTGGGAGGCTGAGGTGAGTGGATGGCCTGAGCCCGCGGGTTCGGGACCCGCCTGGGCGGCAGGACCTCATCTCCACAATAAATCAGAACATCAGCTGGGCGTGGTTGGTTGTGCATGCCTGTGATTCGGGCTACTCGGAAGGATCGCCGGAGCCCGGCAGGTCGAGGCTGCGGGGGGCCGGGAGCGGCCACTGCCCTCCAGTCTGGGCGACAGAGTGAGACTCCCACTCAAAAGGAAAAGAAAACTGGCGGTGAAGACGCGGCTGACTCGGACGGACTGCGGCCGTCTGAGAGCGAAGGGCGGGGGAGGGGAGCAAGTGGGGCCAGGGAGGAGGGAGGGAACTGGGGCAAAGGGGGAGTTTGGGGAAGGAGGACGCGCAGAGCAGGGGCGGGCGTGGCGGAGGGCCCCGAGGATCGCCCCTCGCCGGTCCACCCCAGCTCCGAGGTGGCGTGCGCCGTCTCCTCTTGTGTGTGTGTGCTTGTGTCGCAGAGACGGGGTCCCTCTAGTTGCCCAGGCTGGCCTCCAGCCATCCTCCCGCCTCAGCCTCCCGAGTGCTGAGATGACGGGCGGGAGCCGCTGCGCCCAGTCCTCCGTCTACCTGTCAAACGGGATGATGGCAGCGTTGCCACCCGGCAGGCCGAGAGTGCAGTGTCCCTGCTGGCCGTGGCTGGCCTCCCGGGCCACGAGGGTAGCTGGCCAGGGTCTGCCTCCTCGCCCCCCGCCACCCACCCCGGGCGCCCGCAGGACCCGTGGCCGCCCGGGGTGAGCCGGCCCAGCCCTGTCCTCCGAGTGGCGCTGGCCGCGGGCCCTGGCCGCCGCCCAAGGAGCGCGGGAAAGGTCGGCCAAGCAGGGCAGAACACAGGCGAGGGTGGGGTGGGCAGGGCAGAGGCGGAGGGGGCTGCAGGGGCGGGGCCGGAGCCTGCATGGGCGCCCGGCTTGGGGGGGAAGGCCCAGGCAGCTGCAGGCACAGACGCCCGGAAGCCTGGGGAGGCCCAGGGCCTCCGCCGGCCTCCTGCATGGGCCTCTGGGGGACCTGAAGGGACGGCGAGCCTGAGGGTCGGCCCGCGGCTTCCCGTCAGCACAAGGCGGAGGTGGGTGGTCCGGGCCTGCTCGGGAGAGGCTTCCTGGGCTCTGGGTGGCACTGAGGACCCCGGGGTGGGCGCTGAGGACCCGGGGTGGGCACTGGGGGCCCAGAGTGCAAGCACGGCACTCGTGAGAGCATCTGGGGGGTGGGGGCCTCTGGATTCTGTCCCCCACCGCCCCCGGGCCCCCGGGGAGTGACGCTGGGACTTAACTGACGAAGCTTGGCAGGGATCTGGATCAGGGCTTGGTCGGGTCCAGGAATGAGGCTCCAGGACTGAGGCGGGTGAGAGCTGGGGCCTCCCGAGGCCCCAGGGGCGTGAGTTTAGCGCTCCGGGGGCGCTGGAAAGTGCCTTTCGATCTTCCAGGCTCTGGGCTGGATTTAGGACAAGTCGGGGCAAGAATCCGGCCCAGGCCGGCCGTGGGTGTGCGCGGACGCTTCTGGCCCGCGGGCAGGAGTCCCGAGCGCCACGCCCCGCGGCTGCGGGACACGGAGTCTCCCAAAAGCGGCGCGGAGGGCGGCGGGGAGGGGGGAGGGCAAGGCTTGGTTGCCATGGCGACCGCGGCGGTCCTCGGCGGGCTGTTCTAGCACGCAGGTCTTGGTAGCCGTTGTCTCTCTGGCCCGGGGCTGCTCTATGGTCGTGGCCTCCGGAAAAGGGCCAGCTTCTTCCACGTGGGCGGAGGGCCCTGCGCTAGACCTGTGGGAGGAGGGGCGGGGCCTAGGCGCCGGGTGGGCCGGAGTGACACCCAGAGGGCAGAATCTGAGCCCGGGGGCGCGAGCTGGGCCCCGGGTGGGGGCGGGGCCTATATCAGAGAGGGCGGGGCTTGGGTCTGTGGGCGTGCCCAGCCGGAGCGCGAGAGGCCCGTGGATAGATGCGGGACCTGGAGGAAGGCGCAGGACCTGAGGCTGCACAGGCTTAGGGACAGGGCGCGAAGGTGGATTCTGGGACCCAGCATAGTGGCTGGGTCGAGACAGGGGGCGGGGCCCGACAGCGACTGACGGGCGGGAAGTGATGGCTCTGAGGGCGGGGTCTGTCGTAATGATTGGCCGGGACGAAAGGGCCCCACATAGGGCGGAGCTCGGCCTGGTCAGTACTTGGCCAATCCCAGGCCTGGGGTCCGGCTCCGAGCTCGAGGTGGTGCTTTAGAAGCGGGAACGGGGCGGAGCCTGGCCTCACTACCCAGCCAATCCCAGGCTGGGGCGGAGTCCGGTTCCCAGCTCGAGGTCGTGCTTTAGGAGCGGGGAACGGGGCGGAGCCTGGCCTCACTACCCAGCCAATCCCAGGCTGGGGCGGAGTCCGGTTCCCCGCGGGGGGGCGAGCTTCGGGAGCCGGAGCGGGGCGGGGCCTGGCCTGCGGACCCGGCCAATGGCAGGCCTGGGGGCGGGGTCCGGCTCCGAGCTCGAGGGGGTGCTTTAGAAGCGGGAACGGGGCGGAGCCTGGC